TAATGTTTACAATACAGGCTTGAACACATTTCCCATCAGAGGAACTAAAATTCAGAGCACTAAAAGCATCTGTGCCACCTTCCAAGAAAATGTTTCTCTGAGGTATTTTCCTCAGAAGACAGAATCTTTTTGGTTCTTATTGTAAAAATCCTGGAGAAGATTGAAAACAGCAAAGCAAACAGGAAACAGAGTTCAGTTTGTGGGAAGCTCAGGGAAGAAAAGCAAATCACTGAAAATGTGGCTCCCTCTGAAGATTTTTAAACACAGAGGGTGGAAACACAATAATAAAAAAGCTGGCATAGAGATTGGTTAATGAGAATGTGGTGTGCCAGTGACCGACTAGGGGTGTTTTGAGTTTCTAGGTTTTATTCTAACATTTCACATAAATTCTCCCCTAAAAAATACCCCCCTACCCTGAACACTCTTTTTCATGCTCTTTAAAAAAAGTTCAGAATGAAGTTTATAGAAATTTACCAGAAGTTATTTAGCCTAGAAGAGCAGAGATCTAGACGAATTTTGAGTTCCAGGACATTTTAGACACACATCAATTTGGACAAGCCTTGACCTTTCTTACCTCAGATTTCCATTAACAGAATGAAGATGACATTTTTTTCTGTTTCTCTCTTTGACTAAATAAATTTCTCAGAGTGGGTGTGTTTGTTGTCAGCACACTCTGAGGTATACTGACTTCTCCTCTATAGCCTCAGATCTGAGTGATGAGCAGGCTGGTTGAATGATCAATGTCCATCATATTGGGACCAAGAGTCGAACCTCACGGGTGGGAACTTGTTGGAGATTGCAGAGTAGGCTGAGAAAATGGCTGGAGTGACACTTGTCCTATTGCTAACTGGGTATGTGAGGAGGTTTACAGAATTGTGCTGCTGTTGCTGCTGTGCAGCCAGGACAGCAAAGAACTTCTAAGACTCCTGGATAGGGCGACAGGGACAGGTTTCAGTTGCCATCTGACCTCAGTGCTCACCTTGATAACCTTCCCTGCAGTGTCCAGTGTGCAGTGGGAGGTCACACGGGAATACTTGCCTCTGTGGCTCTAACTCCCAGTTCAAACATTTCCTTTGAGTTCAGCTGCTGCACAATAAGATAACTAAGACCTTTTTCCATCTCACCTTGCTGGTTGTCCCCAACAGAGAGACTGTAAATCGCCTTGAGGAAAAAAGAAGAAAAGAATCGTCTCCTACAGCCTCCTCTTCCTGTATTTGGTGGGTGTCACATGGTTTTCCTGATATTCATCAGTTTATTGCCCACTTTTCTACATCTTATCCATCGGAAAGTTGAGGGAGTTTGTAGGACCAAGCCACAGTGCCACTAAGAAGAGCTGAGGAGACAAATGGAGCTGAAAACAGCCCTGTTCCACGTGCCCCATCGTGTTCTCTAACACGGGGCTGGAGGACAGAGCGTCTTTGTCTTTGCACAAAGGCACGACACAGTCCAGCAGCAGCACGGCTGAGGCATTTGGGGTTCCATGAGGTTGAGTACGTCTGACTCGACTGCAAAGGCTTAAGATCCATACTGCCAAAGGGAAGCCTTCACATCTACTTTTCCGCCACATCAGTATTCACCACGGAAGAGCCACAGCTTCTCTTCATTACATCTTTGAAGATCATAGCTTTATTGGCCACTTATCCCATTCTGCGAGGCGCAAAATGCCCCACCTTCTTTAGCTATAGTTAGGTTACCCAGCTGTTTGTTATTATTGTAATTTATAAATGGTTTATCTCAAATAGAGTATCAATCCTTCTCCAGAAAAAGCACTCCCCTTTGACAACTTCCTCTATAGATGATGAACTTACTTTTAAGGGTTATCTGACTTCACTTTTAATTCCTCAAGAAGACAGAAATTGGAATTCTGAGAGAATATCTAGTGGTGATAAACGTGCTGTGGCTTCCCCACACCGTCCCTGTTGGCTAGAAGCCGCATCCCTGGGCTGCGATAAAGGATTCTTTTACAGCACAGAGCACCTTTTATGCTGGGCTGCCCAAGTTATGGTGGTGATTTTGAATGTGGAATTTACTGAAAGAAAAGCCTGAATGCCAGCAAGCACACTGCCACCATAACACAGTATGACGAGTTCAGGAAATTCTGGCTGAAGTGGAGGTAAAGACTCAAGTTCATGGCATCACAGTTTCGTTGTTACTCCTCTTTTTCAAACAGCTCTGTATTAAGCACCTCAATAAAACACTATAAGGGTACTGAAAAGTGAAGACATATTTTCTCCTCCCAGAAAGTTTATTCTCCAGCTGAGCAGCAGACCCCATCTCCCCTGAGGACACTACAGGATGTGTCATTGGCAACTGCATTTGACACAGGGAAGTTGTGTCAGCTCCTGGTCAGCCTAGAGACATTTCCCGCCTCCTTGAGTTTCTGAACGAAGGGCAGAAAGCCATCTGTGGGGCCGTGGAACTGGAACTAAGGGTACGTGTCCTTCTGAGAAATGGGAAGTTTGAAGGAAGGTCACAGCATATACGTGAATGAGTTTTTAGAAACAACTTTACAAGAGGCATCCTTCTTCATCCTTAACCATCTGCAATGCCAAAGCATCCAAAAAGCGGGAGAGCTTAGAAACTGTGAGGTGGAGGTGGGGGGAGGGTGTGTGGAAGGAGAGAACGGGGTTGGCACTAAGCAGTGAAAGGTCTGGAATTTACTTGTTTCTCCAAATTCTGAACTAGGATTTGTAAACTGTAAAGGCACAAACACAATTTTTTAACAAAAGCGAATAAGGCTTACTATTTGATTAAGAAAACAGGATGACTAAATATTATGAGAATTCTTGGAAATAATTCTTTTATACATAGGAACCATGTGGAAGGAACCATGATTAAGTGCTTAATATTAACTATTTTCTTTAAAAGAACTGTTAGGGAGATACTATTATAAACCCTGTGTTACAGATGAGGAAACTGAATTTTAACCCAAAGTATTGGACTCCAAAGCTCACTGTATTAACATATACATGCCTCTTTAAACGACTAAGTCAAACTATTTACATGAGAAAGCATACTATGCATCCTTCTCCTAGATTTGCAGCCATATTTGTATCTCAAGTCTCTTTTGCTGACAGCTATCTTGGGTAGGTGTCCCCATCGGGCTGTTACTCCCAGAATTATGTTCAATGCCCAGAATTCTTTAGTTCCCAGAACTGGGCTTCTGCTTTGACTTCTGTTTTGGCTGCACCCCCTCCCTAAGGGCTGAAATTGTGCCCTGAGCCCTGTGTCTCTTCTACTCCTGGACATGCCTCCTGGATGACACCTCATTGTGAGTCTAATTCATCTTGGACAACTGAGAGGTATGTATTTGTCTCCAAATCATTAATACTGACTATTGTCATGGGACTTGATCCAAAGCTTTGTGTCTCCTCAATTAGCCAACCCAGGTGTCAGGGCCTGTTCTATTTTATCTGGTAGGTGTGTCTGGAATTGTAGCTGTGGTGTTTGCAGTAATGGTACCCTAGGTACAAGCATCTGACTGCTATATGTCTTCTCTGTAGCTACACCTGTGCATTTACCCGATGAGACACAAATTTGATTATAAATGACTTTTTTCATATTATAATTTTATATATATGTATATATGAGATATATACGATTATATACACATTAGGGATTTATGTGTAATATATATATAATTTTTAACAATGTGTGTAAATAAATTTCTTTAACTATGACTTTCACTTCAGATAATAAGAGGGTGCTAAGAGATATTTGTGATGAAAACAGGCATTGGTAAGGTTAAGACCACTGGGGCAAAAAGAGTGAAGCCTTTAAAGAGACTTCAGTTCAGATTCTGGTTCAAAGTGAGGAATATGATTGGGATCAAATTACTTCCTCGAGTCTCAATTTCTTTATCTATAAAATGGAGATAGTAATTATAACCTAATTCAGGGCTGTTAAATGTTAGTATATAAAAAAAAAAAAAGGTTTAACATTTAACTAAAAACAAAAAAATTTAACAATTAACTAAATATATTAAATGTTAGTATATGTAAAGCTCTTCTGCCCTGCATATAGTAAATGCTGAGAACCGTTAGCTATTATGATCATTATTAAAATGGGGAGGATATATACCTCATAGGTTGTAAATATTAAGCAAGATGCCATACAAAGTGCCTAGTTAACAGATGTCCAGTAAATAGCACATTTCAGTGACTGCAAGTTGTACCATTATTTTAGGGACCTCTAAGAAAGAAAAAACTACCCACTATACTATAGTTAGAGATAGGAAGGCAGATCCCAATTTCAGATGTTAAATGTGACAATTTTTGCACTAGAATCAAAAATACTTTTTCTCCCCTTCTTTTTCCTACTATTTAACCAGTGAGGAGTCCATACTCCCCAGAACCTGGAATTCTTCTTTCCTATTCTTTTCCTCCTACCAAGACCCTTGGGTCTCCTACTTACTTGGCTATAAGGGTTCACCACAAGCACTCTAAGTTTTCTGTACCACTTTTACGCTATCAGGATTCCCCTTTATTTCTCCATCTCAATGTGACTTCAACTGCTCAGCATTCTGATTCTTATTATATGAGATAAATGAATATAAAAATAAAACAAAACAAAAACTTCTTCCTAGTTACCTAAGGCCTTCAATCTGATATTTAAGTTCAGTACCATTTAGTGATGCATATGTATGCCCTCAGAATTAACGGCATGGTGATCACACCAGGCACTTCTGTGAACAGAAAATAACAAAGACTGGGAAGAACTTCAAACTTGAGATAAGGAATGGCAGTTTTTCCTGGGAACAAATTTATGTAATGTCAAGGGTGGCGGAAAGCACAAACAGAATGAAGGTGGAAAACAAAACTTTCTCACAAAATGATTTCCTAGGGAATCTCATCAAATGCTCAGGGACACTATTTTCTCAGTCCCATCTGGCAAGTACAAGTTGATAATACAGCTGGTCTATTATTTGGAAGAAAACTAAACAAACGTCATAATTTCAGAAAAAAATAATAGCAAAGTAGAAATGGAACATTTAAAGCAAGTTTTTGGTGATTATGTTTATTTCATTTAGGACACTCAGTAGACATTAACCGAGGGACTTAAAAGTCATTTCAATTAGGAACCTCTTTAGTCCTTCATCAATTATTTCGAGTGTCCTAGTCTCAAATACATTCCTTTCTTCTACAAACTGCTGAAAGAGATGAATACCTCCACCCACACCAAAATAATGTGCTTTGCTGGCCAAAAGCACCCGTCCATTTTTATCTAACAGTCTACACAATGTTTGGTGCAAAGTACCATAATAATCTGGATTGTAAATGGTTTCTGAGGTGAGAATGAGATCATATTTCTCAAAGAGTTTTTCACTGGTTACTATAAGCTTACAAAACTCAGACCACTCCCCAGAAAAGAATCGGCATTTAGACAGTTCTTGTGCTACTTCTGATTTCCTGCATCTTTTCACATCTGGTTCGTTTACATCATTTTCTTCATCTTCCAAAGTGGAGTTAGCCACGACATTAGGTAAGGTTACTTCGTCAATCACCATACTGTTATAATCTTGAAAATGAATTTCTTTGGCCCCTCCCTTGAATGCAATTATACCCAGCAACCCTGATCCACAGCCAAGATCCAATACTTTTTTCCCAGCAAATTTCACTTTGGCTTTTGTGAAATAAGCCAGGAGGTCAAAGGTACATTCCCAGATTTTTAAGCCTCCTTCATAAACACCTGTAATCAGATCAGAGTGAGAAGAAAAGCTTTTTGAAACTATGTTTTCTCCAGGGAAGTTCTCTTGCAACAAGATGGTTTTCACTACCGATATGTTAACATGCTGGAGACCTGGTAACATTTCTATGACTTTATTTTCTAACACTTTCTTTAAATCTTTAGGCATAGCATGCTCTTTGGCAACTCTCAAGCAAGGCTGTTTTTCATGTGGCTCCAATTTACTTGAACTGTTAGCTGAACTGAGGGAGGTGTCTGTGTCTTGAAAGGGAGGTGCATTTCCCACTGACTTAGGTTCCCACAAATGATCCTGAGACAAGTCAAACTGTTCTCTAGAACATTTTTTGTCTCTATGTTTACCTTTTTGACTTCCTGAGATCAAAGACTCATTTGAGGAATCCAGGGCCAAAGCTCCATCTCTAAGGGGTGTTAATTCACTTTCCAGTTGGTCTTCTATAGCGAAATTAAATTGAAAAGTCATCCTCTCATTCAGTGCACACAATCCTTAAATGCAGAGGAAGATTCTTCAGCTTCTGGATAGAATTGATGACACACACATAAAACTGTCTCAATTATTCAGTTAGTTTTGTTGGGGGTCAATTTCTCTTTAGTTGCTTATACACAGTTACAAATATTTTAGAGATGTTTCCAAAAGACTTTTTAGAGGTCTGCTCTTCTTTCAATTTAGCTCTGAAGAAAAAAAGAAAATTGTTATTAAAAAGCAAAATGACACATTTCACTAAAATGTAATATTAAAAAGCTCTCCCCCTCATACAGCTGTCTTTTCTATAAAAGCTGAGGAGGGAGAGGGAGATAAAGAGATTTGGAAACACACTCTTCAGGGTTCAAAAGCTTGAGAAGAGAATAAACTGTAAAAACAAACAAAAGAACTACAGCAGCAACGACAACAACCAGAAAAAACAGTCCAAAATTCTCAGGCAGGAAATGACAAGCCTAGCTACTTAGCGCCTTTCACTTGTCATGACCCTGCCCAAACATATTTAGCTCTTAACCTGCCAGAATCTCTTCACTTCAGTCTATCGCTGTTTCAAGTAACAGGACTTCAAGATTTTATTTTGGTAAATTAGCATCCCTTTCAGAATATGCACAGGTATGCTGCGGTGTGTGTAAATTCATCCAAATGACCTCACTACAAACATTTAGTGGAGACCAGCAGCCCTAAGTGTATGGGAGTGGGGTAATTTTGCAGTAATTAGTAAAGATTAGTTTGGTGGTAGGGCAAACACAAAATAACGGCACTGAACTGTCTGGAGAGGCCCGTAGAAAGTGGAAGCAACTTTTACTGAGACTCTTCCATCCACTATGCTAGACACTCAATATACACGGTCTGCTTCACTTTGCACAACAATCCCGGCAGGTGGGGTCTTCATTCCCATCACACAGTAAGTACAAAGTAGGGTCACGCAGTTAAGTGGGTAGCAACCCGCCTGTTTCTACCCGACCGCGCCGCGGGGCTTGCAGTCACTACCGGCTGCAAGTTCCAGGTCAAACCCGACCCCAGAGAGGACCCCATGGGACGCAGGATAGCAACTCTGGGGACTTCCGGCCTTCACCTCCCCAAAGCGCCTTAATGCAACATTTACACGACCCAGACCTTAGAATGCTCGCAGCCCAGCGTGTTCCCAACTCACCACGCTGAGAAACCACGACTTACACCAGATCCTCCGGACGTAAAGCGCGCACCAACGAATCGAGTCCTCCGCGGGCCAGATGAGCCTGGCTTGCTTCCCAGCCTTTCGGGGCCCCGGGCTCACCAAGGAACGCAGCCCGCTCCTCTCTATGGTCTTGGTGCCGGCGGAGAGCTCGCAAGGCCTGCCGGGACGGCGGTAGTTTCCGGTCTCGGCTGTGGCGGGACTGGTGGGAGCTGTGCTCCTTGACTAAAGCATGTCTCAGGAGCGTGCTGTTCCCCTGGAGGAATTAAGGAGCTGGCCGGAGGACCTGTGCCGCCAGGAACTGCCGTCTGTCCTGCCCCGGCTCCTTATATCCTTCATTGTCACTTCCACTCGAGAGGGGTGTGGGACGCGTCTCGAACCTTTCTCCTCGGCCTCGTCACCCCCGCCGCCGGGCCGTGTTGTGTTTCTGCGGCCTGAACCCCACCCCCCCCCCCCTTTCTTTGCTGATGAGCGAGATGAATAAGCGCGGGAATGCAGGGCGGGAGAGCACCGTGGGTGCCGAGCCGAAGGCGGGCCTGGCTTTGGAAGGGCTCGCAGAAGTGTTCTGCTCCATGATTTTGGCAGTGGACGTGGCGTTTTCTTCCGTTTCTCTGTGCCTTCTGAATTTTTCTGTACTCTTTACGTGCAGTTAGGTGTAATTGGGTTAGCGGGGGAGGCAAGGACTCAGACCTGAGCTGTATGTAAGGCGAGCTCTGGCCCCCAATAGCTGGATGAGGTAAAGAGAGAGAGATGCTCTGAGCTCTTATCTCTAAAATGGGTGGTGAAGATGAATACCTTCCTCAGATTTGTGAGAATTAAAGGACGTAGTTCTACCTTGGTGCCAAGTCTGTAAAAGATGTTCAGTAAATAAAAATGTTCTTCCTCATCCCCTCTCGGACCTCTTTTCCTTGATTGCTGGTGAGAAGTTGTTGCTCCTGTTTGTAATTGGTTCTCGTCTGCTGCGTTTGAATGACGTAATGCTTCCGTTGTACAGGTGCAGACCATTTTTTTAGTAGTCGCATGCCTTGGTGATTGTCAAGTGTGCTCGGAGTCAGCCCTTCGTGTTAAAAAGTAATTTTTTTTTCACTTTTTTGAGCTCATCTTTAACATAAAACTACACTCAAAAGAAAAAAGGACCTTCACTTGAGAGAGTCTCAACACTGCACAAATAATTTTTTATAGCTAAAGGCAAATAGAAGTATTACCATCACATAGAAGTCATTCACCTGGCATTGGCGAAATCCCGCTTAGGTCCCAAGGCCCTTTCGTAGTAGTTGTCCGGATACAGAATTGCTATCCTCAGGGATTTTGACCTGGGAAACAAATAGCCATCCTCCTACTCAAAAACGTTTGCTAGGTACATAATTTGTACCAGATAGGGTGTTAGGCTTTGGGGAAACAAAGATAAGGAACATGGTTCCTCTTTATCCTCTCAAGGGGGGATTTCTGTAATTGAAAGTCAACATTCCTACTTGGTTTTGCATCTCAAACTTAATATTCAAAAGAACCCAAACCTGCCCCACTTTTCTCCATCTAAATAAATGGTTTCACAAGCCAAAACCTTGAATCCTCTCTCTCGCACACATCCAATAAGTAAGTTCTGTTGTTTCTGACCTCAAACTATATCTTGAATCCATCCACTTATCTCCATCCCCATTGCTAGCACTCTATTCCAAACCCCCAGCACCTCTCACCTGGACTATTGTTAATAGTTTCCTTGCTTCTACTCATCTCCTCTTATAAACCACTTTCCAAAAAAAAGTTTAGAGTGAAAAATACAGTATCGTGTCATTTCCTTTTTAAACCACTGCCCCATGGCTTATCATATTAGGAATAATCTCCAAATTTACCTTCAGGCTTCCTCAGGATCTAAGCCTTGTCTTTCTCTCCTACCTAGCCCACTACACTATCCACAGATACATGAAGCTCACCTCCCTCAAGGGCTTCATGCTTGCTGATCCGTCAGCCTGGTTCTCCCAGCCTTCTGTACATCTCGTTGTCCAGGTCTCAGCTCAAATTTCACTTCTTCAGCTCTGAGCCCTCAATCTTAGGTAGTTTCCCCCAAACCCAGTCTGCAACAGTTTTATCACATTGCCCCGTTCAGTTTTTTAAAGAGTAGTATCATTAACACAAATTATCTTGTTTACTTAGTTTATTTTTTATTTTTTTGTGAGGAAGATCAGCCTTGAGCTAACATCTGTGCTAATCCTCCTCTTTTTGCTGAGGAAGACTGGCTCTGAGCTAAGGTCTATTGCCAATCCTCCTCCTTTTTTTTTCCCCCAAAGCCCCCGTAGATAGTTGGATGTTGTAGTTGCACATCCTTCTAGTTGCTGTATGTGGGACGCAGCCTCAGCATGGCCGGAGAAGCGGTGCGTAGGTGCGCGCCCAGTATCCGAACCCGGGCTGCCAGTAGCAGAGCACGTGCACTTAACCGCTAAGCCATGGGGCTGGCCCTACTTTATTTTTTGCTTTTCCTCACTACACTGTAAAGTTCATAAAGGCAGGAATTTTAACTGGATTATCTCCAGCACCTGGAGTAGTGCCTGGCACATAGCAATCATTCAGTGAAGGGCTAAAAATATTGTCATGTTTTAAAAATGCCTGGGAGTCTCATCAGACAATTTTTTCAGCTTTTGTCTGTATTTTATCTTCAACACTATTTTCAACACATGAAAGAAAAGTTTCCAATAAATCCCCAGTCCTATCACCCAAACATAATTATTTTCATGTCTTGCATTTTACGTACTACTTTTCAGTCTTTACCTGCATGTCTACGTAATCGTTGTTGGTGCCCTCCAGTTGATTCCAACTCCTAGCAAGCCCGTGTACAGCACAGCAGAACCCTGCCTGGTCTTTTTGCACCATCCTCTCACCTTCTGGCACCCTACCATACAATGCTCCACTGCTATACGTAGAGTCTTCATGGCCAATTTTTTCGGAATTGGGTGGCTAGGTCCTTCTTCCTAGTCTGTCTTAGTCTGGAAGCTCTGCTGAAACCTGTCCACCATGGGTGACCCTGCTCATATTTGAAATAACGGTGACATAGCTTTCAATTACAGCAATAAGCAGCCGCCACAGTGTGACAACTGACAGACGAGTGGTGTGGTTCTGATTTCAATCTCTTATTGATCATTGTTTAAACTTCACAAAGGGTCCTTTTTAAATTTATTGTCAGTAGTGAATATCCTATTGCTGTGATACTAGTATCTTCCTTAATTCCTTTACTCTATGTATCGGCAATCTGACAATTGGATGGAGCATATTCGTAAGTAAAATTATCTTAATCATATGATTTACTTTGATATCATTAAGGTCAGAGTCCCACATATCTCAATACAGTTTCGTATTCCCTTCAAATTTTTATTCTAATTATTGTTGTATTACAGCCTTTGTAACTTCTAGCTACTTAAAATGACCAAATTCCTTCAAATTATGGGTAAAGTTTTAAATTCTATTTTGGATAGTTACCAAAAGTGTTCTGTTTGATAATGTAATAAGCACTTGTAAATTTTTTTTTTTTTTAAAGATTTTATTTATTTTATTTTTTGCCCCAAAGCCCCAGTAGATAGTTGTATGCCATAGCTGCACACCCTTCTAGTTGCTGTATGTGGGACTCGGCCTCAGGATGGACAGAGAAGTGGTGCCTCGATGCGCACCCGGGATCCGAACCTGGGCCGCCAGCATCGCAGCGCGCGCACTTAACCACCAAGCCACAGGGCCGGCCCAGCACTTGTAAATTTTAAGCGTTAGTTTTTAAACTGGTTAGACCTGTATAAAACATAATTTACAATAAACTTCACCCTCTAACATGTTTAGTGTCAATTACAAAATACGTTCTAGGTTATGAACAGCTGTCTGTTTAGGTGATGACAAATTTGTCATTTGGAAAAAGTTGAGTTTCTCATCTTCATTAATCTTACTTCACTTGATTTACTTATTTAGCTAGGAGAAGAAGTAGAAGAGTTAAGACTAGACTGCACAGTTTACTCATATTTTGAGTAACTTATTCTATTTACATTTCACTTGCTTGTGGAATATTATAATTTTGCATCTGCGTTGCCTGTTGGGGTCTAATTTTTTTAAGTAACAATTATTTTTTATCCTGAGTATAAGAGTTATACATATTCATTGTAGAAAATTTGAAACATGCAGAAAAGCAAAAATAATAAAACATCTGTTTATCTGAAATGGTTAAGAATTTGGTATAGAAAATTCTCATCTCGATTCTGTATATTCCTGCTAGCCTATCTATTTTTTCTTTGTATATACATGTTTATATATGTTAAAATTGCTATTATACTCTGTTGGAAGCTTTTTAGTTTAACCTTAAAGTATTGTGACTGTTTTTTCATGGTTTTAAATAATCTCTAATAAATATTTTGCTGATAGCAGATCCTATTCAGTAGATTTACCCATATCCATTAACTGGTT